ATAATTTATTTATATATAGCCAAAATCAAATTAAACCAAATACCTAAAACAATACCAAATCAAAATACTCAACATGCATAAATAATTAGCAGCTAGATATACATATATATGTGTATTTTTTGTAACTAGAATAGCTAAATACAATAGCAACAAATTTATACATATCTACATACAAATATATACTCTGAATATGCCTATAAACTGCTAAAACTTAAATTTGTATGCTTCTTAAATTCGATTTTTTTATACTCCAAAGAAATACGAAGCTAGTCAAGTAGCTGAAATGAAACATAGACACATAGACAGCACACAATTATATGCTCACACAAATACACATACACACCGTATACTAGATATACTTACCACATGCAAACAACACAAAACCGTTGTCCTTACCAATACCATCAAATCACTCATCCAATTACTTTGAAACACCAATACTAATAACACTTTTATCCCCAATTAGAAACACCACAAGTCAGCCATACAATGACAACTTGAACACTGCCACAGGCAGTATGAATTCTTCTTCCCTCATCCAAAACAAAAATTGATATCCTCCAAAAAGACAAAAACCACCACAACAACAGCAGCAACAACAAGAACAAAAATTCCAAAGATATTCCAATACCAGAGCATAAATAAAACATATCAGACAACTCAACTCAGTTCAGCTCAGCTAATTAAATGCCAAATCAATGTTAATAATAATAAATGTATGTTTCCAAGTCAATATATGTATATCAATATAACAAATAAATACCAGTACATATACATATATACATTCATTTTTATATACATATACATATTCCTCAATATATCAGCAATAATACTTACCATACATTTATATTATCTTCTATGAATTTCATGCATATTACGCATTTTTATTCCCTCTCTCCTTCTTTTATTTCCTTTTTTTCTATATTTGTATGTGTAAATGTATTTTATCCTACAATTTTTCTCTCACATAAAATATACATTGTTCACAATAATTTATTACATAGATTTTTTTATACATTTTTTAAAAATGTATTCAAGCATGTTCAAACAGTTTTCATACCTTTTTACTCTCAGTTATACAAATATATATTTTTTTTAAATTTGCTCACGTTTTCTTTCTTCATCGTCTTTGTATTCGTAACTATATTTAAATTATTGCAGTATTTATTGATTTCTATTCGACCTTGAGTGCTAAGTTTATAAGGAAAGAAATTCCAATAATTTCATGAAAGTTACAAAGCGAACTAATTTTCCAAGAAATTAAATGGAATTATGTTTGTGGTAGAAGTACTCTTTAGAAACTTCCATAATTTACTTACTTAGCTGCAGGGTGCGCAAAAATTCGCTCGCGAATGATTCAAAACACCTTCTTCTCGTTTTGTGCTCATTTTACGAATAAATTTATGGTGATAAATTCTTTACCAAACGAACATTCGAAAAAGAATGTTCGCACACACATATAACAAACGAGTGAGAGCACACAGCAACGTTCGTTCGTTTCGTTTGGTGGTTGAAATTCTTTCTGACATTCTCTCCCGAATGAAAACAAGCATTCCCGAATTCTCGCGAACGCTCAAAACAGCAACAAAAGTAAGAACAATCGTTCACGAACGTTGACATGTTGACATGACATGTTGTTATTCCACACACGTTCTGCTACACACACATTCATTCGTTGTGTGTTTACTTTTTTATGATATTTTTGGTTGTTGTCGTTTTTAACAGTGCTCGCGAGCATTCGCGAACATTTGTTTTTTGAGTTTTTCAAAGGAATTTTCTTCAGCAACAAATGCTCGCAAAGAATGAATCGACGACGCTTGCAGCGAAATTTTATTGTTAGTGAATTTTTCGTAAAATACGAACATTCGCGAGAGATTAACTTTATCATTCGCGATAAATTGAAAACATTCGAATTCTTGCCCGTGAACATTCGTGAGAAAGAGCGTATTTTAATCATTCTTCGCACCCTGCTTAGCCCAGTTAAAAAAATCCAAGTGCGTCGGTCTTGTGCGCTTCTCCTCAAATTTGAAAGACCACGTTCCAAGATGTTGTCTTCTACTTGGTCTTTCCATCTAAATCGTGGTCTTCCCCTTCTTCGTGAACCATCAGTAGGCTCGCTTTTATATGCCTTTTGAGCTGGGCAATTCTCATTCATTCGCACAGCATGGCCTAGCTACCGTAGTCACTGCAGCTCATTACGATGACTATGTCGATGTTCGCGTATAGATTGTAAAGCTCGTGGTTCATTCGACGTCGATATTCACCGTCGACGTAGATCGGCCCGTAGATCTTTCGGAGAATTTTTCTCTCAAACACCCCAAGAGCTGCCTCATTTGCTTGCGCAAGTACCCATGCTCGGGTAGTATCAGCGTCTAGTAAAGGTTGAGTTTGGTCTGGCGGGAGGTGGCCTTGTTTCTAAACTGCTTACTTAGGCCATAGTAGCATAAGTTGGGCAACACTATTCTTCTCTTCTCATATAGGGTTATTTTGGTAAAAAAGACCATTCATTTTACAATAATGCATTTGTTATTGCAAGCATGAGAAACAGCTTTAAACTGGAATATGCACGCCGAGCGCTGAATCAGGACATTCGAGAAAATCGTATCGGTGGCGCCCAACATATTCTTACTTATCTGGCTCGAGACGGAACATTTGTTCCATAAGCCGAAAGATTTCCAGGCGAATTCGTGGCCATCCCCTTCTGCGTGAAACATCAGTAGGTTCACTTTCATATGTCTTTTAAGCTGAGGCATCCTAAATATGAGATAGATTAGGTATAAGTAAATAGACTTTCGACAAATCGTATAATCGACTTTTCAGTAAAATGCAAAAATCGAAAATCCTAGAAGTCGACTATTGCTCTTGACTACGTATCCCTAGTATAGATGGTAAAGTTCATTCGACGCAGATCAGCCCTTAGATCTTTCGGGAATTTTTCTCTCATCTACTTGCGCAAGTGCACATGCTTCTGATCCATACAACAGCACGGGTAGTATCATCATCTTGTACAGTGTGAGTTTGATCTGGCGAGATGTGATCAGACCATATAAGCATGTGTTGGGCAACACTACTCTTCTCCGTGTTTTAAAACAGATGTGATTAGTTTTATTTATGGCGGTACCGAGGTATATAAAATTGTTGACTACATCAAGTTTCACAGTTGGTACGAGTCTACTGGACGTTTTGAGCGTTGATACCATCAGCTTGGTCTTCACTCCATTTACTGTCAGTCCCACTTTGGCAGACTCCGTCTAAATTTGTTCAAAGGTGGCTGTTATCGCTCGCAATGTTCGAAGAATTATGTCGATGTCATCGGCGTAGGCGATTAACATGTGATGTTTGGTGTACAGAGTTCATCTCTGTTCACCTTTGCACTTCATATGACCCTTTCTAGCAGGATGTTAAAAAGTTCACTTCACTGCCATTTACTGCCAGTCCCACTTTGGCAGACACAGTCTAAATTTGTTCAAAGGTGGCTGTTACCGCTCGCAATGTTATGTCGATGTCATCGGCATTTCTGTTCACCTTTGCACCTCATATGACCCTTTCTGTCTCCAAATACTTTACAAAAATGTCGCTCATTAGATTTGAGAAACGATCCTCAAAGACATCAGAACTGTTGTATTCCTCGGAAATATTTATTAAAATAAATGCTTACTAAATGACGATTTAACATGGAATGACAAGCAAATTAGTTTGAAAGCAATCAAATTTTAAGGAATTCCGTTGAAAAAACGTGTCTGAATCCTCAACATACCTAAAATCCTAGGAATAGTAGTAATCCCTATGCAAAATGTCAAGACTATATCTTAAATATAGAGATTTCAATAGATAAGGATAAGTTAAACAACGTAATATTACAACAAGAACTTGATTCAGTTCGAAGTCCCGCCAATAAATGAATGTTTCGATTATTAAAATTAAATTCAAAATCAGTGTTTTGGGGGTAAATTTGTTGAGGGGTTTTAAGTGGTAGTGCCAGCAATAACAACTGACTTTCCGCAGTCATCGGAGGAAAGTTCTTAGCGACAATACCTTTGAAAAATGTCTTAACCATGTAGGTAATCAGAAAATTAAAAAAATAATTCAAAAAACAAGCACTCAAGTGAGAAGGTGGAATTTCATTACTTTTAAAATTTAATATTTTTTGTATCCAATAGCTTCTTCAAACATTTCATAACATATTGACATACATTAAACTACATTTTCCTTACCAAACACATACATTAAAACACACATACACATACAAACATAAGACCTCAACAGCTTTATGGAAAAAGCTTCTTCTACTTCTTGATTTGTGCAAATCTAGTATCTCGGACCTTATCGTCTGGCTGTCTGTCTGTCTCTTATTTTGTGCAACATCTTCTTCATTTCTTTACTTGAAATCTAATGCTGTAATGTTTTTTTTTTAAATTCCGAATGATAAACATAATTTTCTTTCAGTGGATTGAATGTGAAACTGCTTGACAAATAAAAAACTCTAAAAAATATAAAAACAAAATCTCTTGGAATGCTGCTTTAAATTAAAAAAAAATATTTAAAATTAATTTTTTTATTAAAGGCACCTTTCGTTTTTCTTAAGGCAATAACAACTTCTTTTTTGATATTCTACTACAATTGAATTGGCCTGCAACTCACCGATTTTTTTCTAAGAACCAACAACCAATTGTCAATTATTGCAACATTTTTCAATTGATTAAATCAACCAAAACAAAAATATTGTCAAATTAAAAATCACCAAAAACACAAAACGTAAAAGCTTTTTGAATGTTAGTTTACTAAGCTAAAACCAAAAAAAAAAACTTGTGCATCATAAAAAAGTACTTTTGAGTTTTTTTGTAATCTGCAACCTTTAAAATTTTTGCCATTGTAACACCCCACAAATCTATCGAACCAATCAACCAAACCAACCAACAAATCAAAACTCTCTTAAAAAACTTCAATTATCTCTTTATTGAAAACTATAAAAACTCAATTATTAATTTAAACTAAAACTAAATTCTAAAATACAAAATGTCTCGCGAAAATTCCCCACGTCATAGCGCTAGACGTTTAGCCAGAGATCCACAACCGCATCCAACGTCACAGCACAATCAACAACAACAGCAGCATTTCTCACCCGTTCATCAGCCACGCATAATGGAACATTCGCCAGCCGGAAGAGGAAATAATGCCGGTGCCAATATGGCCAATGCCGGCACTGGACTCATATCAAATTCAGCTTCCAATATAACCACCGTTCACGAAGATGGCAGCGAGGATAATCCCATGCTGCCACCTTTGACCGGTTCGGGACCAAGTCGACAACGTTCATTAAGAGATCGTCTTAAGGACGGCATAACCGGCAGTTTTTCATGGCAGTAAGTGAAAACATTTTCAATTTGTTTTTCCTATAATTTTTAATTTTAGAAAAAGAGTTGAGTATTTACATTTTGGAACATTTTTTGTTTTTGTGTTTGTATTTTAATATTTGAAATTGAAACCACAAGCAAATGATTATTGAAAATAATTACAAATATTGAATTTTTGTAACTTTATTGGAGGATTATTTTCAATATTTTTTGTTTGGAAAATTTGTAGAATATTTTGTGAGTTTTGAATTAATTTTGTTTTTGAAGTTGTTATTTTCCCTCCCTTAAACGTAGATGTAAAATCACATTTTTTTTTGAGGATCACAATTTATTGTAACTAAATAATGTGCACCATATGACATCCGCACATTTCATTATTTCGCACAATTGTAGATAGATGCACTTACAAATTGAGTGATTGTAGTCTTAAACCAGATTTACATACCTATAAATAAATTAAAATAAGAACATTGAAAAAATATATTTATCATATTTTTATATTTGCACAAATTTGTATACACAAATTTAAATATTTATCGAGTTTGAACTAAAAAAGTTACAGCTAAACCGATAATAATTCAATATAAACGATAAAATAATAATAAAGCTAATGTATAAATTATATACATTTGATTATATGATTTATGAATATAGTATTCATTTGGTTGATTTGAAACAGATATTGATTCCAGCAAAAAATAATGCGTGTGAAATTCTTTAGATTTGTATCATTCCGAAACAGTGTTGCCAAAACTTGATTGAGAAAAAAATTATAGATTTTGTTTAAAAAATGCTAAAACGGGCTACAATTTTTAGAAATATGCAGGAAAAAAGTGCTAAAAAATAATATAAAGAAATTGAAATTTCTCGATAATAGATACGCAATTTTGTGTAAAGTTCCCTCTATTATCAAGTGGGGCATCCATAGCGTTTGATGGGCCATTTTGTTAGTCGTACTAGAAGCCACATTCATAAGCCGAATTTATTTTAAACGGTATGGCTGTTTTGATAATGTTCCATGGAATTTATTTTAGCTGGTCAATATCCAAGGAAAAACTTTATATAAAATTATACACTCTGATATGGGAGTTATACTAAAATGTACATATTCTGATATAGTTTAGTAGTATTATTATCACACCATGAAGAATATATCAACAACTCCATGGATAAATTTATATAAATTATATTGAATTATATACTCTGATATGGGAGTTATACTAAAATGTTCACAGGGTTTACATATTCTGATATTGTTTAGTGCTAGGTGCTAGTTCCATTATTCTTTGCCAAATCTTGTGCAAATAAAATATATAGGGTCTTTGGAAGTTACATTAAATGCTATATATATATATATATATATATATGAGCTATATCTAAATCTGAACTGATTTTCACGAAACTAGCACTAAAAGTGCTAAATTGGCAACACTGTTCCTGATTGCAACATTAACTGCTAATTGGCAACACTAGTTCAATGTTGCTATTCCGTAAATGGAACGATCAGTACCATGATGCAATAATAAGGTGATGTATCAAAACAAAAACATTTGTTTTTGTCTCGATCATCTGTCAATTTTTTCCTTATAATATTTCAAAAAGTTGGCAGCATTACAGAAAGAATTCAAGTAGAAATTACGCACTTTTACAGTTAATCAAGACATCAGCTGTTCTAAATGGACTACCTATTCATTGTGCCATGGATCAGTACTTAGTCCAGCTGCTTTGTTCATCTAATTTTTTACGTACGTTCCTGATAGGTGACAATTGGTAAGGCGATGAAATCACATTGGTAATCTAGTGAACCATTAACTAAGTAAGTTGTACTCTCAGAGCAAGAGAACCATTTGAACTCCTCGTGAGCTGATAAATAAAACGTGACCGTTTGTAAGGCTATAAAACAATTGTATGTTTATGAACCAATGATAACTTTTTGACCGTTAATAAACAATTGGCAGGATTGCTCATTGGGGATTAGGAACTATTGCTAAACTGGTGAACCATTGGTAAACTAGTGAACCACTAACTTGCTAAGAAGTTGTGCTAGTGAATAATTTCTGAGCTAGAGAACCATTTGAACTATTGGTGAGCTGGTGAATAGAAGGTGACAATTTGTAAGGCGATATAACAATTGTATGTTTATGAACAAATGATAACTTTTTGATGGTGAATAAAAAATTGGCAGGATTAATCGTTGGGGCTTAGGAACTATTGCTAAACTGGTGAACCGTTGGTAAACTATTGAACCACTTGTAAGCTTGAGAATTAACTGTGACTTTTTCAATGGAGAATAATTAGTTGTGGTCTTGCAAATATTTGATAAAGTAGTGAACCACTAATGACTTTTTGAATTAGAATTATTGATTGAATAGAAAATATGATTGAATAGCTGGGTATAATAGGTGAGCTAGTGAAACTTTGATGAAACGATGAACAATTATTGAGCTTATGATCTGGTAAAAATCTAATGAACAATTGATTTCCTTTAAATAACTGATGTACCACAAAATCTTTGATACGATTGTAACGCTTAAAAGTCGTCGATATTCGGTTTGGACACTGGCTTTTAATGTCAACCAAATTAATTTAAAATTTGAAGTTTCAAAGTCCCTAGTGGTCATACGATAAACTAGTCTGCAATCGTGGCAATGCCTAAGGCATTTCTATTTAAGAATGGATGCCGTGCACACAGCATGCTGTTGCACTATTATATTAAGATTAAAAGAGGGCTAGTACATACATAAGCGTATTTATTTATTGTAAGGTTTAAGCTATTTAACCTAAGATGTAATTGAAGTTTTTTGATTGAATAAAATGGCAAAGCCAAAAAAGAAAATCGTGACAGTCTTCTGTAGATGACTATGGAGGCAAGTGGGGTTGAAAAAAACGAGCTTTCGGCTGGGGAAGTAGTTGTAGTTTGCAGTGTAGTAGAGTAAGGTAGCAAAACGAAGTAACTGAGTTGAAAAACGAGTCCTCTACCTAAATATCTCTATCCTTTGAAAAATTGTCGTTCTTTTTATTTTCTAAAACACAATCGTCTAGTTAACGACAATTTTTTGCAACAATTTACATTTCTCAATAACTGTTACAATTGAAATCGTCCTCGACATTTTCAATTGGCATATTATGATTGAACTTGAATTTCTATTTGAAACAACTTTCCGTTTTGTTTTTGTTTTGATCGAATGAATGTTTTAAGATGTAGATTTGTTACTGTCGAGTTAATCTCTAAAACGATATTTGTCAATTCGGTGACATGTGATTTATTTTAATTTATGACTTGACTTTTGATACGTTAAAAACTGAAATACTCCATTACATTTTACAATTTTTATGCGGCTTGAGCCTATGGCAACAATAATTTGCCAAAACAATTTACGAACAACAACCACACACATGCCCACCGAATAAGTTTGACAAATTGATTGATTGGCAGATGAATGTTGTGCTATTACTAGAATAGCATAGGAGCCATATTATCAATTCTATTACTCATATGAATATGTATGTGTATGAATTTATACATGACGATGACAAAATATTGAAACACAAAGTAAATTAATTATATTACTTTTTTGTTTATTCTATGACACATCACATCGATACGCAAACGCATAAAAAACTGTCACTGAAAATTAACAACAGTTGACAGAAATTGTTTCATAAAATATTAATCATTCGCATAAATTATAAGCGTGAGAATTCGTCTAGTTTTACATTCGAATTTTCTTTTGGTACGAGGTTACATGATACGATTTTGTCATGACAAATTTCCAGAATTGCAAACGCGAAACTTTTTTAAAAAATAAATAAATAAAATTAATATAAGAAAGCTCGCTGTATTAAATACTAGAGTTGTACTTTCTAGTTCACTAAGAAGATCGATCTTTTTTAGTTCAGCTCTCATGATTGAACTAGTTTATTCTTTTAGCTCAGTTCGTCTATACAGAATCATTCGTGTGCGACGATTGTGCATCGTACATTGAACGATTCGTTGCTATTTAGTTTGTGAAAATGTAAAGGAAAAAAACTGGCAAATTTGTCCATAACCAAAAATATTCGAATTTTGTTAAAAAATAAAAATTCACTTATAATTAGATAATTCATAATATAAAAATGAAAATTTAATTTGTTTAAAAATGTATTTTATTGTTATATGTAAACAATTTGTCATTGAGTCGTGAATACAGACGTTTGTGATTGATTTCTTCTTTCTCGAAGAAAAATAAGTGAGTTCTACATATGTCTGGAAACTTCCAGCCAAATGGATCTTGATGTTATGTATTAAGGTTCTTCAAGTCATCTAATGGCGCGTTTCTCGCTTAGGTCTTGTTAATTCTGTAAAAAAATCGTACAATTGGCATATATGGAGGATATATTGAAAATGTTCTGTGAAGAAGTTGTTTACTCACCAAGGTCCTGGGTTGTCACATTACAGCCAGTTCCTAATGCAATAATACAGTCTTTTACGCCCGGGACCCAAATATTTGGACCTTTATATAGAGGCTATACCTACCATTATTTTTTATTTTTGATAGGAAGATTTATCATCCAATGAGACGACAAAAAATCAAAATAGAACTCATTTGAATTTAATCATGCCCATAGTTACCCGAAACATGGACTAATGCTGATCATTTTTATTTTTTTAGGTTAAAAAAGATATCGTTATTGAGGACTATCTTAAAAAGTGCACCAATAGTGTGAATTTCTGATAGCGATTAAAAAACGTGCCGAAAATTTATTTCCATAAAACTTATTTTGTTGAGGATAATTTTTAATCCGCTTTGTCCAATGTGCAACACAAAAAAATAATTATCTGGAAATTTTTAAAAAAAAAAGTGATAGAGGGGCTAAAAATAGATATTCTACGTGAAATTTACCTATGAATTTAAAAACAAATTATATATTTAAAATCAATAGTTTTTTTAGAAATTTACAGTATGATATTAAATATTTGCAACAAATTCTTTGTTGGCTTAATGTGTTTTAAAAATTTTGAATTTTACGTCTTAAATAA